TTCTGAAATAAGCCTTTTCTTAGACTCAAATGAAAATTGGAACAGATCCACTTCCATTGTGCAGATGAAGGAAATATATATTCTAGCTTGTTTTACTATGCTGCTGTTCTTCTTGTAGTGCACGTCACATTTTGGACCTTTGGAAAGCAAAGTAAAGGCCTTTGAGGAGCATAGTGGGGTTTTGGCAGGATGAAAGGTGTGCCTCAGAAACATTCCTTCCATTTGGTTATTTCTTATTTCAGTTGCTGGCCTTTGTTAATTATTGTCTTTCAAGGAGTTGGTTTGTCTTAATTTTGTATTGATACTTTGTCCATGTCCTGTACTTAGTCCCCGAGCCCACTGTGTATAGGACACACATAAAAGGGTTAAGAAGGAAAAGCCGCCATTCAGTATTGCCGGGCCACTATATTCTAACCACATAAATGTTCTGCACAATTAATTCGTTCTGATCATGCATTATGCTTTACCTAATATCTTGGGCTTCATCAGTTGAATGTTGCCTATTGAAGAAACTCTGGCTGGTGGAGTTTTGTGAAAAGAAGTCTGAACTGGTGTTAGTCTTGGGAATGCAAGAGGCCTAATTTTCCTCTCTTATACACCATGTTTAGGTTAGGGATGTTAAATATTGGTTAATTGAATTGTCGAGTAACCTCACAAATTCTTATTGGTTAGTTGACTATTTTATAATCCCCGGGGGTGGGGCCGACAGCCATTGTGCTCTGGCCCCATTCTGGAGGCTCCCCCTGCCACTCTGCGCTACTGCCTCTGTATCAGAGGCAGCAGCAGGGGGTGCAAGGCAGAAGCTGGTCCCCAAGGGGAGCCTGTTTAAAAACCAGTTCCCGTCATGGGACCCAGCGCGAGCTGGAACTGAGCCAGGCTGCCTGCCCGCCTGGCTCATAATACACTTTAAATGCAGAGACTCAGTGGGGTAGGCACCAGACCTGTTGGAAGCCAGGACTGAGCTGGGCTGCTGGTTAGCCTGCTAAAAATTTTGCCCACCAGGAGGGGGAGGGGAAGAAATGCATGTAGTCTATAGCATTAACCTATAAGCTTTTGCTTATCACTAGACAGAGGCAAGGGGTCACATTCCCAAGTGGCATGAATATGCCATCTTACACCATCCAAAGCTTCCGCTTCTCTGCAGGAATCCCTTAGATGCTCTTGTGCTATCCTAATCTCACCTGACCGCTGCATCAACATCTCTTATATTTAAATTTGTGCTACTATTTGCATACATGTGGGTGCAATTAAAAATCGCTAACGAAGCACCACGAGAAAGAAGAAAATTACAGCAGTGATCACATGCATTAAAAACAACAAATACCTAATGTTTCAGATGGTGTTTTCAACTATTTCTTAACCACTGAAAGGTTATTGATTTGATTTGGATGACACCAGTAATTACCAATCAGAACTTTATCAATACTAGGGATGTGAAGGACTAGTCATTTCTCCCTCCTCTCTCACCCCTCCCCACTGCCTCTATCAGAAAGAGGCAGCAAGAGGGGGGGGTGAGAACAGGGGGTACTTCGACGTGGCAGACCCCAGGCTCCATGCAGAGCTGCTGCTTTGAAACGATGCATGCAGCCCCGGGTCAGCTGGGGCGTCCCCAGGCTGCACGCATTTCAAAGCAGCAACGCCATGTGGAGCCTGGGATCAACTAGGGACTCCCCTGCTGATACCAGGCTCTGTGTGGTGCTGCCACTTTGAAACGCTGAGTGGAGCCTGACGCCGGGCTCACCACGGCGTTTCAAAGCGGTAGCACCGCACAGAGCCCGGGTTCAATGGCGGGGGTGGGGGGAAGTCCCCAGCTGTCCCCGGGCTCCACGCGGTGCTTTTGCCTTTGAAGTGTAGCAACAGCCCTAGGGCAAAATGCATCGACTATTCGATTGGTCAATTACTCACAATTTAACATCCCTAATCAATACACACCCTGTTAACGAATACACACAAATTTACATTTAAGCATTGCTTCTTCCCCTTCTAAAAGGTTGTAAACTCTATTTCAGTTACAGGCAGTCCCCGGGTTACATACAAGATAGGGACTGTAGGTTTGTTCTTAAGTTGAATCTGTATGTAAGTCAGAACTGGCGTCCAGATT